TCCTTCAAATATTTAAAACATTTTTTTTTGGTCTGAGCTGAACCCTAAATCACACAGGTTTTCTCTCTGGTTATCAGACATCTCATCTATTCAAATAAGCTGTCTTCAGAAATGGTTGTAAAATATCCAAGTACAATTTAAGGCAGAACGAGCTCTTATTTTATAGGTTGTAATACTATACAACAAAGGTATAATTAGAGATTTATTTTAGGAGTGATAGGTTTTCATTAAGACATCTATAGTGTGTCCTATAAGTAAAAATTATTTATAAAAGTATGAACTACAAAAACCAAAGGAAAGATAGAAAAGATAGTAGTATATATATTAGGCCTTTTCTTAATATGTAGTTGAACTTGAAAACCAGTTCACAGCTTTTTGTGATTTTGTTTATCAAGAATTATATCAAAAGGATTGAAAAATTCTGAAAGACCACAGAATTTTGTCTAGGACTGTGATATGCATTACCTCTCTTTTGTAAGTTTTCCATTTAGTATATTCCCGTGCAATTTAGTTAAAGGCTTTAACTTAGACTCGACTATAGTATTCCTTGGAAAGTGAAATGCTTGCAGATTGTGATTGCTGTCAACCGTGCACTGCCGCCATACAGAGGCATGGGATTTGTTTTCTTAGAAAGTGAGGCTACACAAGCATCTGGCAGCAGGAGCACATGTGTGCACACACAGACACAAAACCGTTCAAATACAAATAAAGGTCTCTAATAAAACTTTGGTGACAGACATGAAGCACTCAGAAGGATTCTCAGTAATCAAGAGATTCTTGATGTGAGTCCCAGATGAAAGACACTGTACTATAGGTGGGAGGTCTGGGGAATTTTGGAGTCTTCAGAAGCAAGAGGTTTGCAAATTTTTTTAACACAATGGATGAGTCTCTTTTGTCTTCACCCCACGTCATTTCCCTTCGCCTTATTTTATTCTCTTTCATCCCATAACTATTTTTAATATTTTTCAAAACTGCAAATCCGTTATTGCCACCCACCACCATACAGCAAGTTGCAAAATCTTTCAGTAAGTGAGATACATATCCCTAACCAATGTTTCAATGATTTACTCACTACGAATGTTGAAGTAATATTGACCAGTTATGATGAAATCAGTGGTTACATTTTTTTCTCAGAAATTCTGTGAGGTAGCTTAGAAATGTCATCAATATCTCATCTATGTAAAATAATATTATTTTAAAAGTTTCTTCAGAAATCCTTAATTTAACCATCTTTACAAATAGTTTCAGTAAAGAGAAAAAACAACATGACTACCTTCTATCTCCCTGACATTATGGAATTAGTATTGAGTTTCCAGAATTATAATGAGGAAAACCCAGAATATTATGTGTAAAGATAATGCAGTAGGACTAGAACGATGGCAGAGTGATGTCTCACTCACTGAATGTCAGTCATTAGCTATGGAGATAAATTAGGAGCAGTCATGTCAATTGATGGATTTAAAGAGAAAATAAATCTATCAGCTTTAAAGAAAAGCATTGCTAATAACTTCAATTCTAATACAGGCTATCATAAGATAAATTATAAAGTACTGAGTGGCTTTCTATTTTCATAAGCAAACTTAATAGTCACATACAAAATTTTGAAAAATACTCTTCAAAGGAACATTCTTATTTTAAAAAGGGAGTCCAAAATCCCAGATTCCCTAGTACCACCTGTTCTTTTACTTACAGTGAAATGTGGTTACATACAACAGTTTCTGGATTTTAATTTGTTGATCCCCCAGGGATCAACAACTCTAGAGGAATTAAAAGACAGTCTTATCCAGTGGTGGTAATAACAATACTTATTATTATTCACTGAGTGCTATATTGTGTCAGGTATTGTTCAGAGCATTTTATAGGTGTTACTTTAGTTTTTGTAAAACCCTTTTGATGTAAACACTATAATTACTTGTATTTTAAACATTAGGAAATGGAGGCACAGAGAAGGTAAGTAACTTTCTCATTGTTACACAAGGAGTATGAGGTGGAGCTAGAATTCAAATTCTTTGACATTCTGAGTATAGTCCGTGCCATAGGCTAGTTATAATCACCAAAATTCCTTCTGCCTCTGGAATATTGCAGAGTACAAACTGAAGAGGGACTCATTATATTTATTTTTATTTATTTATTTCCAATTAATATAAAAGGAAAAAAGCATGAGGCATGTCTCAGAGGTTATATTTTTATGTCAAAAATATAGTAGCTTTAGTTTTTGACATTGGTGAAAAACTGAAAACACTGCAACTAGGTATGATCGTTATCTATTTTGAAAACTCTGATTTTCATACAACAAACAAGACAAAACTTATTCCTGAGTAATTTTTGTATATATGTAATATGTTACAACTTTCAAGGTATTACAGTACGGCTACACTATTTACCCAATGCATTAGACGGTATGGGTCAAACCCAAAGGACTGCATTTTATTCTATTGGACCATGACTGTATCAAGTATTGATTTAAAGAAGTCAGCCACTGAAATGAGCATGTTTGCACACACAGTCCCTGGCCAGCTAGCACTTGTGGCATGAGATTGGGCCTCCTGCTTAATGGCTTTCAAACTTCCCTGAATATGTTATGCCAACCATGCTTTAGTTATGAAACAATAAATTTCTTCCTATTCCCTGAAAAAGGTCTCCCAAGTTGCTCTATCTATGATGGTGGGGATGCACGGCCTCGAAGGATATATTAGAAATCCCAGGGGAGGAAACGCCAATTTGTTTCCTGGCAAGAAATAGCCCTTATTATGAATATTACTGTGAAGAAACAAAGTTTCTGATAAGATTGTACTGTCCACCTCAGGAATGTTGGGGCTGGAAAAGGCTGACAACTACCGGCATTGCTAATATAAGGATAGAGAAACTCCATTCTGTCCTCCTTGCTCCCTGCCAATTAAAGACCAAGTGAATTTGCAGCATTTTCATTTTTACAACGTTCCTTGAGAAGGTTCCAAAGGGACTTTTTATTGCTTCTATATCTAAGGGTTCCTTCCCAAGTCCATTTTGGTAGAAATTAAATACCTATAAAATTCTTCCCTGAAAAACATTTAAATAAGAGCTAATGCCTAATATCCAGTTAAATTATTTCATTCACACCTACTACAAAAGTTTCCCAAGCTATCTTACTTTTTTCCCATTAAAATTTGTTTGTTTAGAAAAGAGCATTTAAAAAAAAAACCTAATAAAATTGACTATCTATTAAAAATATGCTATTTATTTTAATAAAGCAAATTTCTGGCAAACCCAGTCTATTCCTGCCAATCTTTTCCAGGTAGCTCCTGCTGCAGGAACGCTGTCTACAGTGTTGGTTGAGAGACAGTATATTTCTAAAATATAAAAAAGCAGCATGACTTCTCATGAGTTGAATTTTGGCACTGGCACTTTGGATAACATTAAAAAATACTAAAAGCACAGCCTTTCAAAGTCTGTTATCTATATTCATTACATTAAAGACAACTGACTGTTCACCAGATCACTCAGTGGTAATCATTTAAGATCCCGGAGACAAATTTCCTTCATATTAAGTGCTAGAAAAGCTCTTCTGTTCTTTAGCAGAGATGGTATTATTCACCCTGCATTCCCCTCCTTTAAGGACAACCATTTAGCTCAGTATTTCTCAGCAGGGTATTATGGCATTTTGGGCAAAACAATTCTTGGCAAGTAGGATGTCCCCCTCCCCAGCCCACCCCCATGCCCCATTTAGTATCCTTGCCTCCAGACATTAATGCCACCGGCATGCAGTCATTGTGACCACCCAAACTGCCCACACACGTTCCCAAATGCATTGGTTGAAAACACACTAAATAGTTTACTTCCTTTGTTTTGTCTACCAGCAACTCAATCAAATTTGTCCTTAAAAAATATCTGGGTAAGAACATATGTCCTATATATCTGCATTCTAACTTTCTTCCACTCTTCAACTTTCAGTTTAATTTATATTTCCCTTGGTCCTAAATTTCATTTTCTATTCTGATTTTATTGTTAAGACAATCCAAATCCTTTATTGAACCAGATGAGGTACAGATAAATGAAGAAAGCTGGCAGTTCAGAAGCATTTTCTCCCTTTCATTCTTAAAAGTAATGCTAACTTGAAACTAAGCACCATTGGTTTATACAGCATGCATTTTAAACTCCTACACACAGAGTGGTAGAAAACTATTCCTCACACACTTAGTTCTTAGGAATTAATAAAGGATAATAAGCCAAAGAGGAAATATTTTTAAAACCTTTGATGGAAGTGACTAGGTATAAATAAATATTGTATTTATATAAAGACTTATTTCTATATAACAGCAATTTAAATGAGAGGAGCCTATAAAAAGTATTTCTTCATTTTCACATTATAAACATCCTTTTGCTTAAAAAGTAAATTCCATAGGAAGCTAGCTTTCGTGTATCGCCATTTTAGATGAAAATTTGGGGAAGGAAATCTTGTTTTGGTTTTCATTTAATTGCCTTATTCCTTCAGATTCCTCATTTCTAGCAAACTTTTATTGAGGGAAACTATTAAGCAACCCAAAATTGTTAGACATTTAGATATTGATTTGTCTTGTACACAAAAGATGATTTGTCTCATCTTCAGTGACTATGGCGCTCCACATAATGTTTTTTTAAAATATTTTATTCATTCATTCATTCATTCATTCATTTTCAGAGAGAGGAGAAGGGAGGGAGAGAAGGAGAGAAACACTGATGTGTGAAAGAAACATCAGTTGGTTGCCTCTTGTATGCTCCCAACTGGAAACCTGGCCCGCAACCCAGGCATGTGCCCTGATAGGGAATTGAACCAGTGACTTTTGGGTTTGTAGGCCAGCACTCAACCCACTGAGCCACGCCAGCCAGGGCCCAAATAATGTTTTTTTTTAACACTTATTTGTATGTCACTTACAATCTTAGTAGCTACTTTTGAAGAGGGTGTATAAGAGAAGATCCTGTTGGGTAACTTCCGTGAAAATGAGATATAAACTAAAGATGGCAGTACCCTCCATGCTTCTTACCTCAGAAATGCAAACAGCTATGTTAGCAGGAAGCTGGGAAAACTGCTTCAATTCAAATACGTCACGTGCTGCCCATCGGCTCATGTGATTTTCAGCTTTGCTTGATCCAATCACGTTCTGGTTTGAGTGAATGTAAGCCACTTCCTGGACACCATCTAGGAGGTAATTGATGTTTATTAAGTGATGTCTCATTATGATGCAATATGGTTCTATGTTACATTTAAAAAATTATTAGCAATACACTAAATAAATTATGCTTGTTTTGTTTTTAATCCTCAAGAAAAACATTTAGTTTGCCCATTACCATTATAATATTCTTTAAAAAAAATTAAAAAGAGAAACCATTCACATATGTTGGTCTAGGTTAACTTGGAAAGGACTTTTGCTTTTCATCAACATGACAGCATCTAAGATTAGGTAACAGTCTTTAGACTTAAACCAGAAATGAGAGTTTGGCCAGCAGAAGAGTCATGGTGGAGGGTCGTTTCTATGAATTTGTTGTTCCAGTTGTTTTTAAAAAATTTGTTATTTACAAATTTAAAGGGCAGTACTAGCCTCATCTGTTTCTTTAAACATGTACTTGATTACAGTGATGAAGTGGGAGCAAAGGGTTTATGACCAGGGAGTTTTGTTTGGTTGGCTTTGTTCAGTTTTACTGTTTATATTCTGTCTTTTTTGTACATATGTCCAGAGAATGTAAAAACTGGAAGCTTTTTAGGAAATGAAAAAATACTAACATAGCTTTTATCTGAAAAAAGTTTAAAGATGGCTACTTCTTTATTGCTTTGTTTCTAGGTGCCTATAATTTACCTTTAAGCTCTGGTCATAAAAAAGAAGGCTAGAATTGAGGTCTGTAAAAGCTCTCTCAAACAGCTTTGGCAATGAACCTCAATTATGACCTTCAACACTTGTGCTGTTTCAGTCTTGAACCTCTCTTCACCGATATTGCCAATCATGTGAAAACAAGATGGTAAATGAAATGACTGAAAGAGCAACTAAGATAATATTCTCCTTAAATTTCAAAACACCAGGAAGTGCATATGGCAACAGTTTGAAACCTTCAGAAGGATTCTTCTGGTCAAAAATTTACTAAAATTTTTCTTCGTTTTGATGATAGATTTTATGCCTTACTCAAAATAGCACTAGTTCCACACTAAGTATTGATATCTTTTGGACAGTAAAAACAAACAAACAAAAAAAACTTTAGCTGATTAAAAAATAGTTTATGCAACAATTCCTCAAACCTAAACTCTAGCTGTAGCACAATTTTATAAGGGTATCAAAATACATATCACCATGATTAAATGAGACTACTAATAACTGCAAAGGAAAGCTTGATTTGCAAATAAGTTAATCACAATAATTAAAGTTTCTATATCATTGTATCCTTGCTTATATACTAGCTTCTTTCATGTAGCTCTTTGGGAATGAGTCATACACTTTTGAGCTAACTCTTAACATCACTAAACAGATTCTCAGCCCAAGGTGGTGGGAGGGAAACCAGTTCTTCAATGTTCTGAATCCTTACTAGAGAACAAACAGCAACTAGAGAGCAGAACTAAAAGTCATGCATAGCACGAACAACTAAATCAGAAGACAAGATATTCCTATGAGCCCTAAAATACAAGCAGGTAGGGAAAAACCAACAGCTACACACTCTGGATGGCACAGGGTTAGTGTGCAGGAAGAAGGAAGCAACAGAATGACATCTGACAGATCTGAGAACAGGAGACCCCAGAATAGCCAAAAGGTATTCAGTGGGAAGGACAATGGGCCAACAGGAGGTAGCAGTGAATCTGGGAAAGTTTTCTGCTCTTCAACGCTGAGTGGGTGCATGGGCTGAGGTAAGAAAGCCTGAGGGGCTAGAACAAGCAGCACTCAGGAGCTTCCCAAACCGACCCACCAGGACCCTCAGGTCAGGGCCACACAGGAGGAAAAGCTCTTGGAGGGGAGTCAAAATGAGCAGGATTCAGGAGTGGAAGAACAGGAATGAGGAGAAGAGAAGGTGTAGAGCAAAGCAGGGAAGGGGATAGAGAGAGGAACACTATATAAAAATCACAGACATGGATCCTTGTGAAGTTATAAAAAAATTCTTACATTCTGCCTCATTTAAAAATTCATGGAAAAATTTTCTATAAAAGTAAGCCAGAGGGTCAAATCTCATAAAAATTATTATAAAAGAGAGTAAGTAGCAGAATTTATCCCCACAATGAAAACATGTCTGATATATGTCCTCACAAAACAGATTAAAATTGTGATTTCAAAATGAGGTAAAAAGACTTTCAGAAAATGATAAAACACAGGACCACAACATAAATCAGAATAAAAACAACTTACAAATGAGTGACAGAACTCAAGAATTAAAAATACTATTTCAGAAACAAAGACTAAACCAGAAGTAACATAAGACAGAATGAACACAATAGATGATGCTTTAAGAGAAACAGAAGAAATATTTAAAAGCAAAAGAGATGGAAAAGATATAAAAAAGGATTTGAGAAAATGTGACAAATTCTGAGGACAGGTAAAGACGACTGAACATTTGAATAAGAGGAGTCCCTGGAGAAGAAAGCCAAAGCACAGAAATAAAACAAGTAAGTAAAAACCCTAGTACAAGAAAGTTTTCCTAAAACAAAAACCAAGCTGAAAGTACACTATGAGAATACTGACCCAGAATAACCAACAGTGCTGTGGACTGAGCATTCCACCGCCCACCCCCGCCAAATTTGTAAATTGAAGTCCTAATGCCCAGTGTGATGTATTTGCAGTTGAACCTTGGGAACACAATGAGGTCTTGAGGGTGGGGCCCTAATGAATGGGATTAGTACCCTTATAAGAAAGTGCCCTAACCAGGAACCTAACTGTGCTGGCATCATGATCTTAGACTTCCAGCCTCTGAAATTGTGAGAAATAAACATTAAACCATCCAGTCTATGGTAGTTTGTTATAGCCACCCAAGCCGATTAAGACAAACACCAAAAAACAACCCAGTAAAATTACTGGACATCGATGAAAAGAAAAATATCCTTTGAGCATGAAGAAAACACACACACACACACACACACACACACACACACACACACACACACACACTTCATACCAGAAGAAAATAAAACTACATACTTAAAGTACTTAAGAAAGTGTGAGCCAAGGATTTTATATCTAGTAAAAATGATTTTTAAGTATAAAAGGCACAAACTGTTAACAAGAATCTCAGGGAATATTATTCTCATGAGCACTTCCTAAGGGATCTGCTAGAAAATAAGCTTCAGAGAACCAAAATGACTTGAAAAGCATTGCTATAAGAACTAAGGGGGAGCATTAAGTTGAGAGCTACCTGCAAACCAAAAGTAAATTAAGTCTAAGAAGGAGAGACTATACAGTGCAATGTCTGAATGCTCTGACACTGTAGATATAGTGTATCCACTTTTAAAATAGGAAGAAACGTTTCCAGGGATCATAAAATAGCAGTATTGGTATTTTTACTTTTATGACTTTTATATAGCATGGAATAGAACAAATGAGTAATCATGAAACATTATAATTAAATCATTCCCTATATGCTTAAGAACCAGAATTAACATTAAAGATAAAATGGTATACAAATGTGATACAGAAGAGGTTTAATAAAAACCCTATAGTCTCAAATTATCAATATAAATATGGAAGTATCAACAGGAACTAATGAAGTATTTCATCATCGTACACAATATATAGGTGTAGATAAACATGCATATAAATACACACATAAATACATATAAATATATACTTATATATACATATAAATATAAACACGTGTGTGTATGTACACATATATATTCTGTCCACTGAAAAGGCCCAGAAATAATAACCAAGCTAGTAGTAGCAATGATCATTCCTAGCACAAGACTGTGCTCTTGAAACGTGAGTTCTCACTAAAAAAAATCAAGACTTCTTGCCTGGAACAGAAAATATATGAGCTGATCCTACAACGCTCTGTCATATCAGACAGCAATCAGAGATGACGAGCATAATGTCAAAGGGTCCCGGGAACCAAAATGTTCACATACAAAGGCTCTACTGTGCAAAGATGAGACAAATGAGCCTTAATAATGATGTTAATTACAATGTATTGAGACCCATTAAATGTGTTTTAATCACTTATTCATAATGATTTTTAGAAAGATCATTCCCTCTAGAGATGATAGGGGATTAATTTATTATATTAAAAACTGGTAAAGAAGAAATTATTTTCCCTGCCTTCTCTATATGAACCATACCACTGGGTCACAGTAAATGCAAGTATCTCCTTACAGAGGCATTCTAACTAACAAATAAAACAGAAATAAAAGAAGTATAAATGTTTTGCTACTCTGAATGAATAAATACTTATAGGCATTAGGCATCCATGGTTGTCAAGAGACCAGTGCCTGGGTGGCTCAGCTGGTTGGAGCGTTGTCAGGTACACCAAAGGTTGCAGGTTCAATTCCTGGTTAGGGCACATACCTAGGTTGTAAGTTTAATCCACGGTCAGGGTGTGGACAGTAGGCAACCATTTGATGTTTCTCTCTCTCTCAAATTAATTTAAAAAAATCCTCAGGTGAGGTTTTAAAAAAATAAATAAAGATCAGCAAACATTTTGTGCTTCCCATAGATTTCCCGAACAGTAACCTTTGTCTTGTCAAAGGGATTTAACCTGAGTTGACACAGTCCCAGTTACTGCTCATTTGCAGGATATATAGAGGGCAGAGGAATATGTTCAGCTGCACCAAAGGAACATAATTAGCAAAATTCAAATTGAGGAAAACTCTATAGACAGCCCATCAATCAACAGATAAATCATATGGAATTGGAAGAGATGAAGAAAGAATACTATAGAATAAAAGAGATTCTATAGAATTAAAAAAAGAGAGACCAAACTATGTGTAGGGATACATATTTGTGTGATTAAAACCATAAAAATGCAAAGAAGTAATTACTAGAAAAGTTAGAATAACGGGGCATAGGTAGGGGGTCTGGGGGCATGACAAGGATCTTTACCTTGACCTAGGTGGTCTTTCTTCCCTTTTCCCCCCGCCACCCACCAAGTTCCTCATTTGTGCCTCAATGTAGCATCTTGATTGTAGAGAGCTATTTTACAAGCTAATTCAAGAATCTCTTACAGAACTACTTGATTTCACAAAGCAAATACATTTTAAAAAAGTTTTCAGAAAGTATCTGCAGTTACCTAAAAATTTATCCATTGATTCATACATCTGCTCTTGATTGACAGTGCTTTCATTTGAAAATTTCATTGGTGTTCTTGGTACAAAAGTGCTATTTTTCTTATGGCTAGGAAATTTTGTAGAGAAACCAATTCTATCTTTTGAAGTTTTTGCTCTATGTCTCTGTTTAGAGAAACTGATGTGGCTAACAGAAAAATCGTCATCTGAAGATGTAAAATCATCAATAGAATTACAATCTTCATCTGTTGTATACAGTTGGTTTTCTTTCTTCATTGTTTTAGGAAAAGTGTAAAGTTCTCTTTTATTTTCCTTTTTTCTCTTAAACCTCAAAGACTTAGTAGCTCTTTGTTTTCTTACGCTTGACCTAGAGGAAATTTCAATGTCATCAGACTCATCACTAATATCACTACTACCTTTTCTTTTCATAATAGATTTCAGGTTTACAGGATTTAATTGTTTTGAAATTAGTCCACTTTCTCTGACATTGCTCTTTGTATCATCACCGTTATTTGCTATTTTTACGGGGCTTTCTGTTTCAGAATCTTCAAATTTATCCTTGGCTGTTTTAAGCCTTACACTATTCTTAGGGAATTTCTGAGTTGTATATTGTGTAGGAAAGATGACATCACTATCTTCTGATTCTGTGATATTCTGTAAATTGCAATGGTGGTCAGTTGTATTTTTAGAATCTTCACTATCATCAGACTCAGAAGAAATAGTCTGTTCTAAACTCTTTTCACTTTTATCAAAAATATCTTTTTCATTTGGATTTAGGATGTTGGCTAATTTCTGATGTTTTGAAGTACTAAGAGAGACTTGACTTTTCTGACAACCAACATCTTTGGCTTCTGTCGAAAGGCATGAGCGCTGTTCATCAGAACTTTTATCATCAGATGCAATATTTTCATCATTATCATCAACTGCTTTATATTTTGTCTCAAGCAATTTAGAGAAACCACACTGGAGTAAGGTAAGCTGCCCTGGAGAACCCGAAGCTTTACTTGAGTCAGATGCTTTGTTTTTAGTGGACTTTATTCTTGAGTTTTCCACTGATTCATCATCACTAAAATCACCACATAGACCACATGCAGGTTGCTCTGGCCCTCTGTGTTCTTGATAGTCAGGCTCTCCAGGCTACACAGGAAGCAATGACAGAAATATTAGACATCAAGATAATGACATCACATCTATCGCACTGGAAAGGAATTAAACTTGGGCAGATAATTTGTATAAGTATGTTACTTGGTATTTTATAAAAGTGCATTAATAAGCAAATGTAAAGGATTTAATATTGTAGTCTGGTACACTCTTTTCTCAAGTTGGATAACTGTCCAAAATAAAGAAAAGTTTAAACTAAAATACCACATTACCAAATTATTTATAAGAAAAAGACAGAGCCCCATAGTCAGCTTATCAGAGGCAGGGACCCATTCTGGCTTCAAAAGTGAAAAGCTCACAACTTATTGCTCACTGTAGTCTGGCAGAGATTTCTAATCCTGCTTTGAGAAAGAAACACATGGGAGTTAACAAAGAAAAGAATTCGCAGCTGGAAAGTGGTTCTAATGAATTGAAAATAAAAGTAAGATTGAATAGGATCTTAACAACCAGAAATAAAAAAATATTGAAGGTATTTTGAATCAAAATTTGGTAGAAATTTAAAACCAATGTTTAATTTTTTCACATCAGTCAGAGCTCAGTATATCCTTTAGTTTCCTAAAACTGAGGCTTCATTAGTAAGAGTGTTGGGGAAAATATTATCTAGCAGTACTTCTATCAACATTTGATACTCATGTATTTCTATAATTTAGAAAAATACTGAGGCCATATTCCAAATCATTGGGCTAGTATAAATTTATGAAACCTCTACAAACAAACAAGAAACTACAATAAGAAAAAATTTTACACATCTTCTTTACTTTTAAACATTCTTTACTTTTAAAAAGGTCCTTTGATACAAATATATTTTGTAGTATGTGAGATGACAAATTAATAAAAAGATTATTAGATCAAGGATTCAAAGTTACATATTTACTTAAGTAAGAGAATAATTTTGATGTTTGGATTTAATAATCTTAAATACACTTAGGTTGCTATGTTTCCATTTAATTTGTTGTTCAGTAAAAGTTACTTATTTAGTTTGGATTGGTCACCTGCACAGGATATTTAATTTTGCATTTACAGTTTGGTGCAGTTAAAATTCCAGTCTGGATATAAATGCCTGATGAGTGCTCCTGAATTTGTTCTTCGGATTCATGGACAGGGACCACAGTGTGCAGACTGCTGTGGGGAGGGGGCTCAAGAGGACTACATGATAACGGAAAAAGAATGCAATAAAGATTAAACTTTAAAAAATGCTGTTAGCCTAAGTTATTAATTTTACTGACAGTCCTCTGATGTGTCCTTAATGTTTTTTAAAATAGACTTTTTCTTTACACATTGCAAGATGAAGGAAAAAGGAAAGTAAACCTAAAATGGTCACAGTACATGTTTTCTAGGAGGTCTAGGCTATAGATTAAAATATTGCTTACTCTTTCTAGTTTGTGTACTTGAGGTTCCTCTTTTAACCATGTTCTGGCTGTCATGACCCCCGCTTCCACTTGGCCTTCTCTCTATAAATAATGCAAATAAGTATGTAAAATATGGGGTTAAAGAAAAAACAGATAACAGCAATGGCACACTAAAACTTGGAGTTATGAAAGAAAAACTGAGTAGCTTACTTTAACTCTCTTAATGTTATTTTTCAATTTGCTAATTAAGGAACTCATATACACTTTATATAACATTTTAAAATAATCTTAATTTTTAGGTAGTAGGGAGGCACAGCAAAAGCATGCCGGGCCCATAAAATACTTTTTTTTTCTTGTTTTAAAGCTTATTTTTTCAGATATACTGCTAATAATACTTTTTAGCCAACCCTATTAAAAGTTCTAGTAGGTGACGGAGGGTGGAAAAATGCTATATATATTCACAGTAATGATTCCATAATAAGCATGTCTATATAATAACTATAGTAAGGACATACTGTCGACATTTCAAACAGCACAGGTAATGTTGAGTATTGGGAACTTGATATTCTAGACTACATCACAGGTGCATTTATTGTTCATATTTATTAAAATGTTTATTGATTCATCAGGTGTAGTAAACATCAAAATGAAAAGGTCCATCTTAATATAAAATTTAAAAAGGCCTTAATTATGTAACAGGATTGCTACATCTTTTGGAAAAATATTTATGCATTTAAAGCATAAACACTCAATTGCCTAAATTCTAGAATATTAAATTTTCCTTCAAAAGGAAATTAATGTATTTCTCTTTTTAAGGCTTTATTTGTTGATAGAAGGAAAAATAATATTACCATCGCCAGAGTTACTAATATTCAACTTATGAATATACAGACATACCAATGGCATGATTCCAGCCACCTGGTATCCAGGGCAACAAGGGAAACTTTCTCCTAATGATGTTTAGAGAATGACAACGGTTCCTAAATTGCTAGACTTTTTCTTCCAATGCCTAGAGGCTATTATTACTGCAAGGGAGTTGGGAGCCTTCTTCCTGGGACTGCCTTTCATCTTTTCAACAGAAGCTAAATGGCTACAACAGATCCAAGTGGCAGGACCACAAATCCTTCAAGTGAGCAGAACCCCTCTGTGGTACTCAATAGCACTGCAGTCTTTTGTTGCAGTGCAGCCCAGCACCTTGGAGCCATCATTAACTCCTCTTTTCCTGTACCTTCTATCCCATCCATCACCACTATCTCCTGGTGCAAACTACTGTCATCTTTAGAGTAGATTATTGCACTATTCCCCTATTTCACTTCTTGCTTCCATTCTTGTACTTCAGTGTAATTCTTTTTTTTCCCCCTCACCCAAGAACATGCTTACTGATTTTAGGGAGAGGGGAAGGGAGGGAGACAGAGAGGAAGAGAAACATCAATGTGAAAGGGAAACATCCATCGATAGTCTCTCATATACACCCCAAATGGGACCTCTCTTATGTGCTGGAACCCACAACCCAATCATGTGCCCTGACTGGGAATGGAACCCGACCTTCTGGTTTATGGGACGATGCTTCCACCAAGTGAGCCACGCCAACCAGGGCTACAATCTAATTCTTAATATTTAATCTAGACAATATAGGTCAGTGTTCTGTTCAGAACCCTCTAATTGCTTTTGGTCTCCCCCAAAGTTAAAGGCTTTGCATGCCCTGCTTCCTGTCATCTCTTTAGCCCCATCACTTGCTCTCTTGCTTACCACACTCCAGCTACTCTGGCTTCCTTGTCATTCTGTAATCATGCTGGGCATTCTCCTCCCTCATTTGTTCCTATGTCTAAATCACATCTTCCTCCCCAGTCTCTTCAAAGGATCACATGCAATCTCACAGTGAACTCTTCCTTGGCTACTCCATTTAGAAATGAAATGCCGTTTCCTCAATGGTCTCCCTATTTCCCTTCCCACTCTTTTTTAAATTGAGGTACAATTTACATATAACACTTTACACATTTAAGGTGCACAAGATGTTAATACATTTATACATTGCAATATGATTACCACCACAGCATTTGCTAACATCTCTATCATGTCACAAAATTATACTTTTTTTGTGGTAAGAACATTTGTGATCTAGTCCCTTAGCAATTTTGAAGTATGCAATACAGTTCTGTTCACTACAATCACTATGCTGTGTGTTAGGTCTCCAGAACTTATTCATCTTCTACCTGCTCTATTTGTGGCGTTGGAACCTATCATCATAATACACACTATACTTCACTTATTTTTTTCTGCTTATTGTTTGACTCCCCTTATATAGAACGTAAATTTTTTGTAGGCAGGATTTTTTTGTATTTTATTAATTTCTGTATATGTAGCTCTATGAACAGTACCTGACACTTAGTATATACTCAATCAATATTTGTGAACTCTTAATATAACTGTAATGAGAAACTATGATATAGATTAAAGAAGTCAATGAACATAGAACTAAACTGCTTAGAAACATCAGATTAAATGTCCTATAAATTCAAATTTCCAAATCTTAAAACATTTTAAAAGGGATTTTTCTATAGCTTTTTAAAATTAAGGTGAATCACAAGAAGTGAAATTCTTCTTTTATGTTACAATATATGCTTTCACTATATAAGACTTGGAATAATAATATTTTAAAACATTGTTTGGACAAAAGCAACATCAATTTAAACAGGCCTAAGTAATTTTATATTCTGATTGACAATGAGTGAGCAATTTTAACTCAATATTTAGTAACTGAGTGCCAATGATGTGCTAGCAAGAACCACAAACAAAAGAAGATGTGGAGGGTCCTGCCGTTAAAAAAACAAACACTCCTGGAGAGGAAACAAGATACACTTAGGACAAGCAGCAACAAGAGAAATTTCTATTTAATAACTGGTCATGTTGATATGTCTTACCTAACACTTGTTTAACAAAGGAATAAGGTGGCTATTTTCATAAAACAGAGAACTAAACTACAGCAGAAAACAGGGTAAGTAATATAATGCTTATATATGTTTTATAGGTAATGATTTCGAACTCGAACCATGAATATAGGCTGGTGTGTTGTGCCGTACTCTGAGACAGAGATAAGATCTGAGCGGGTCCTGGAGGGTAAAGAAGGCTAATCAAATAGGTTAGAGAAAAGAACTGGCAAAAACAAGTCCATAATAAGCAGCAGCATATTAAAAAACATGAAAGAGATCAAAGAAACGGGACTTTAAATGGGTCACTCAATTCAGAATCAAACAGTTACTATAAAATAAAAACTCAGCAGTAGACACCAGGCATTGTGTAGCAGTTACAATATTCACAGGATACAAATAGCACATGCTGTCCTGTTAAGTTTTCAGTGATCGCTGATTAGCATCCGGTTAGAGTCACACTGCCGCTTGCTCTACACGTGCTTTCTGATGTCACGTGTTCACTGTGAATGTCCCGTCCCGCCTCCCATCAAGATGGTCTAAGTTCCTTGAGGACAGGGAGCAAACTGCTCCTTGAACTGATTTACGGTACCTAATAAATAAATGAAGTATATAGTTCAATATTACAATGTCCTGGAAGTGAAGGAAAACATGCTTAATTCCAAGACTCAGTTTCTTCCTCCATATGATGGGGGGAAGGTTTGAAAAGATGGTAATAGTCCAGGATATTATGATTCTCATATCAATATCAACCAGAATATAGGTTAATATCTTTAGTAGTCTCGTATATTATAGAATTAAGAAAAAATTAAAGGCTATAAATACCCTATTTGAAGAATAAGAAACATCTGTAAGCTGAGGATGAACACAACTGGGAGAGTTTGAAATATTAGTGTGGAATTTTTATTGGGAACAGAAAACAAAAATCTCCATGAGATGTGAGAGTGCATCTCAGGGAGTATTTGGTAACTTAATCAAAACACATTTTATATTTTTGTTTATTTAGGAAAGTCTCTTTTTTTAGTTTCTGACTTCAACAGCTGTTTCAAAATAATAAACTTCTTTTTCCCAGTCTGAAAATGGCATTGGAGGTCACATTATCTAGTATATGTATCTGTATTTGTGTATGCACATTATTTATAACTATGCATGGGAAAATCTTACTTTAGAGGTACAATAATTTATTTCTTGTTTCCCAAAAAGTAGAAATTCTAAACATAAGGCATTTTTTAAAGAAAACCAAAAATTCCTCCGTAAAGGGACCAGCAATTACATTTTGAGTTTCCTAAACAAGAGAAAACCATGTTTAAATGTTACTGAAAAGGTCAGAGAACAATTTCACACCTCTAGGATATCCTTTGTAAGACAAGACCCTTGGGACCGTAGTTTGAAGAGATTAGAGACCCCAAAAAGCTCTCCTCGATGTTCTTTTGATCCTTGAACTGCTTCAAAATATCGCTTGGCATTTTCACTTCCAACCACCACACAGTGAAGTTGCTAAAACAGAATAAACACAAAATATTTTTTAAGTGTTTGCTCCAACAATATGTCAGAATTTCCTGGCATTCCATGTATACACATTGCTTTAGCTGGAGCAGGCAGATTCTCCTTAGAGGGGAATTTTTATTTTAATTTCCTCAGCAGATGTTGCCACAAAGATGAAATAATGGCCCATCTTATTGAAGAAGGGATGTTACATTTCCTATTTTATCTGTTTCTACCAAGTCAGTCAAGATCGCATCTCTAAGGATTACCCACCTAATGTAATATGTTTAATAACATAGGCATATGTGTGTATACACTTTTTTCCTTTCTAGACTTTTATTACAGTAAGTACTACCAAAACTGATAGAAATAATCACCACATTACTAAAAGTTAAATTGTAATCTGAAGTCATTACATGATAACCATGTGGTTGTTAAACTAACTGTGGCCATGGTTAAATTGTCAAATAACAGCAAAGACTCAATTGCTGTTTAGAAACACTGCATCTCTGAAACAATTCTGAATATATAGCAAATGTTGACATAGAACCCTTAAGGACACCACTGTCATATCAATATTTAAGTGTCTCAGTATTTACTGGATATTATCTAAGTGTAATGTAAATACAATCTGATTAATCCCACGTACACTACAAAATTTCTTGGAAGAAACAAAGAATGCACAGGATGAAAACCAACTTCGGTCTATCATTGATAGAAGGATTAATAAGAAATCACAGGTTATTGTGATTATCATATTTGCGCTGTAAAAAAATTACTCTAGAACACTAAAATTATGCTTAATAATGGCTGTTATTTACTGAACACTTATTGCATATGTAGCATTTTTACATTCTCTCATTTAATCCCTTACAAGCCTATAAGATATTATTACCTCCCTTTCAGAAATAAAAACAAAGAAGCAAACTGGGGTTGCTCTAGTTTAGAAATAAAGAAACTTAAGTTTAGAGAAATTAAATGCTTACCCACAGCTACCCTGCTAGGAAGTGTCATTTCTAGATTTATACCTGGGTTGGGACAAATCCAAAATTTATAGTCGTATTAATTTTTCACTTCCAGGATGTTCCCCTTAAAACAAGATCCTTTGGACCTTACTTTGAAGAAGTTATGGATCAACATATCCAGCTTAATCAGGTCCATATCTCTGTCCCAGGAACATGGGCTACATTCCTGGGAATGTAGAATCACAGTAACAGTTGGTGCACCTGATGGCCTGGTTGCCTGATGACTTTACCCTTGCTACTGACTTTACCTTAAACACTGTATTGTCAGACTGTAGAACTACTAAATATAATTACCAAAGTAATTTGTAAGCATTAAATCTGAATCTTCATAAGTTTTATCACAAAACTTATAAAAGGCACATTATTTTGTACTTAAAATAAGTTTTCCAAAGTAGTTCCAGTAACAGTGAAGGCCAGATGCATCTATCTGTAGGCTAACTATATAGATTTTTAAAATCATATTGAATTCAAGAGCTTAGGAGAAAAATTGGTAATTGGAAAATGTAGCTTAGTTTCCATCTTAAGAAAAACTCACACAAGGCTATAAAATGATTAGATTTGTTCACAACATATAAGATATGGAAGAAGTAACAAGAAGGAACGTTCTCCATGTTAAAAATTTTATGACACCTTCCTCCATTTTCAAGAGCAGCATGGCATGTTCATATCATTCTCTTTGACTCTCTGCTTCTGCTGTCCCTTGTCTTTTTTTTACCCTCTTGCGCCTCCCCCCATCAGAATCTTCATGATTACATTGGGCTCATCCAGATAATCCAGGAGGTTTAAGGGATTAGGATGTGGACATCTTTGGGGGACCATTATTCACTTCACCACAGTAAGGAAGTGCAAAAAGAATTATGGCAGCCTGTCAAAATGACACAGAAGCTGCTTCGAAAGGGTTCCCATTGGCCAAAAAATGAGGTAGTTCGAATATCAATATAATCATGATATTCAATGAGTTGTAATGTTATTAAAATAGGATCCGAGGACTCCACACAGATTAAATAAATAGAGAGGAGGGGGGAAGCTCTTTCTTATGGTAGAAAGCCAAAAAATTTTTTAAAAGCAGGAATAATGGAAGTAGAAAAATCACCATCTGACCACCATCACAGTGGTACTGATTCAGGTGGGAATCATCAGACAATGTTAAGGCCAATGGGTATAGATTTGATGAGGGGCAGGATGTCAGAATAGTGGTAGAGATCTCTCCATGAAATATTTATCAATTATAAAGGGGAAAAATTGTGACTTTGCAGTGAAGAAAGCTGGCAGACACAACTTACTTGGTGATCAATGTTAACATCACCAACAGTGGGGCAGGGCACCATCATGTGCTTCCTGACCAATGCAATGAGCAGAACACTGCACTGTTTCATGCTTATTCATGCTGAGGCTTCTCGGCTTAAGCCTGAACATGAGAAAACATCAGTGGATTTATTCTTTAAAACTATCATGATCATGCAAGACTAAAAAACCTTATTGCAGGTGTTAGAAAACTGACAAGACACAAAAAGAAATGTAACTATGATTTTGTAACTGGATACTGAACCAGTAAAAAGAAAACATTCCCAGGCAATTTGGGGAAATGTGAGTGGGTTCTATGGATTATAGGTAACGTATCAGTTAGTTTCTTGAATTGGATAACTGAATTTTTGAGAGGACAGTGGTGGGGAGTGGGGGCAGCAAGTTGCAGAATTGAGTGTTTATAATGCCTAAAACTATGCTTATATGTATACATAAATAGAGTGTTCTCGTTTTGAGGAAATACAAACTAGACAATTTGGAGTTGATACACCTGCAACTTTCTTTCAAATGGTTCATAAAAAGAATAAACATCATAACTGAGAGGAAGAGAAAGCAAATGGAGCAAAATGATAACAACTGGGAAATTTGGGTGAAGTTCATTGGGAGTTGTTTGTGCTGTTCTTGCAACTCTTCTGTAAATCCAAACTAAACAAATAATATAATACAAAAGATGAATTTCTGAATGCCAAACTGTAGATTACACTCAATGTTCCAAACCTGGAGGAGTAAAGTTGCTGTGTAGGTGATGTTTTCATTTTTATAAAGTATAAAATATCTGCATGCATTACTCCAACAAGATCATCCCATATCAGCGTAGCTAACAGTGAGATGATAAGGTGTACCTTTCTAGATCTCTTTTAATGCTCTTGGTATATACAAATAGAAATATTGAATAGTTTTATGCATAAACACAACTGATCACATGTTCTGCAACATGCTTTTTTTGCCACCTTAAAAATGTCTTAGAGATCTTGCCACACTGGCACATTTGCTCTTACTACAATTTTTGTTGTTGTTGCAGAGTATTCCATAATATGGGTATACAAGATTTTGTGCTCTTATTCTGTTACTATTGGGCACTTAGGCTGTTTATTTTTCATTTTTTAAAGCAAATACTAACAACAGTGAATATAAATCCTAATCATCCTTTGCTGTTTATATGTGAGAGTGTTACTGTCAGGTAGATAGGAAAAAGGTGCTATGTGTTTTAAAATACTGTTAGATTAGCCTCTAAAATAAATGTATAAAGTTGTATTCTCAAAAACAAGATATGAATGCCTCTTCACAATATAACCATTAACAATGAACAGCACCAATCTCCCAATTTCTCTAAAGAAAATAAACAAAAACCTCACATAAGAAAACAAAAAGCCTTTGGTAGAAAGTACAGAACACAATCTTATTTTGTATTTCTAGATTATAACTGTGGTTAAGCATCTTTTCATATAGGTGATAACTATTTGTATTTTTTCTTCAGTGAAATACCTAATCATAACTTTTCTATTGTCTTGTAGTTCTTTATATATGGTAAATGTTAATCCTTGGTAATATATATATATATGCAAATATTTCCCCCTAGTCTCACTTTTAAGTTTGCTTATAGTTCCTTTATCATACAGAAGTTTCATATAGAAATGTAGTCAAATTTACAATACATTAGAGGCTGCATTAGTTTCCTAAGGCTGCTCCAACAAAGTACCACAACCCACACGCCCCAAAACAACAGGAATTTACTCTCTCACAGTTCTGGAAGCTACAAATCTGCAATCAGGGTGTTGGCAGGGCCATGCTCTCTCTGAAGGTTCTAAGGAAAGATCCTTTCCTTACTCTCCCAGCTTCTCATGGTGGCTGGCAATCCTTGGTGTTCTTTGGCTTGCAGCTGCACCACTCCAATCTTTGCCTCTCTTGCCACATGGCATTCTCCTTCTGTGTCTAAGTTTTCCTTTTCTTATAAAGACATCAGTCAATGGATTAGAGCCCACCCAATTCCAGTGTGACCTTACCATAACTTGATTATATCTGCAAAGATCCTACTTCTAAAAAAGATCCCATTCCAGGTACCAGAGGTTGGAACTTTAACATATCCTTTTTGGGGGGTTGGGAGGGAAGGGCACAATTCAACTTCTAACCAAGGCTTTGTTAGACATTTTTACATTTATGTTTATGAGAGATACTGGCCTGTAACTTTCTGTCCTTAAAATGTCTTTGTCAAGTTTTGGTATCAGGATTCATCTATCTTTTCTAAAGTAAGTTGTAAGTGTTCCCTCCTCTTCTGTTTCCAAAAAGAGTATTAGATGTTTGATAAAATTCACTGCTAAAGTCACCTGGGCTAGAATCTTTAGGGAAAGTTTTGAATTAATAATTCACTTTCTTTGACAATACAAGGTATTATTTCTCCTTATTTGAAGTGATTGTTCCTAAGTATCAAGTATCATTAATAAGAAGTTACATGTTGCCCTGGCCAGGTGGCTCAGTTGGTTAGAGCATCATCCCAGACACCAAAGGGTTGTGGGGTAGATTCCTGGTCAGGACACATACCTAGGTTGCAGGTTCGATCCCCAGTTGGGGTGTGGATGAGAGGCACCTGATCAATGTTTCTCTCTCACATCAATGTTTTTCCCTCCTTCTCTCACTCTAAAATCAATAAACATCCTTTGGTGAGGACTAAAAAAAAGTTTAAGG